CCTAAACTTTGATTTATTAAACGCTATAAAAAATATCAATCTGCCATTTCAGATATGTAAAGTCCTTCTTTCTGTGACCAGATAAAACTTTGAACGATGTTTCGTCTGTGAAGTACACAGAGGTTTTTATAAAACGTTTGTCTACATGGTGCAACATACCGATGATATCAAAGGTCATAACACACTATTATAAGGACTGCAGGTTTGGGTGTTTTAATTGGTTTTATTCAAAAGCTACACACCGAGATCCACAACAAAAGTTTTTACCACGATAGTAATAAGGTGCGTCAATGTTTCTGTAGCCGCAGCCTTAATACTTCAAACTAAAAGGGAAACAAAATATAAAAGGTCTTTAAATGTCAGGGGAATAAATCCAAATTGTTTTCTTATTTCAGATCTCTGGACACCAGTTTTAAAATACACTCTGAAGTGATATTTTGGGTTGTTGTTTAGTGTAATCTGCATTCTTGGAGTTTAGTGCAAAGCTGCCGTATAAGGCAATTTCAGCCAACACAGCTTAACAACCATGTGAAGCACCGTAAGGCCCGTTTTCCTAAAATCAACAGAAACGTGCCTTTTCAAGTCCAAGCCCGGCCGTGCATATTGTTCCATATCTACCTTTTTTAACACGTGTTCAGATCTGATATCTCCTACCTTTGGACAACCAGCCAGTTAGAAGTATTGTGTTTCTTCATTGGTCACTAACTTGGAAATCCACAAAGCTGATATAAAGTGGATTTTTAAAGACAAGCCAAAGAAAATATTTGGTTAAAGATAAGGCCTTAACATATTACAGCTGATTCTTACTTCTGCAGGACATCCTGCCCAGAAAACACTTACAAATGTGACAAAGCAGAACTAGAAGACTTTTTGTGCTCTAATCATTTTGATATGTGCCTGGATATTTGCTCAGTTACACGCTTGTTTAATGCCATCATTTAACTCTGTCAAACAGTGAGGTCTTTTCCCACTTAGAAACTTAAACTTCACACTTGGATTGCTCCGAACGTTCTCTGTATGATCGATGTCCTTGAAGAACATATTTGCCACGGTGCAGCAGGTCAACAGTCAAAGGCTAACAGAACAGGGCAGCTCTATGCACCAGTGAACTTAGTGGGCGGCTGGGAGCACACTTCCTCTCAGGGGTCAGCGAGGGCCGGGGAAGATGGAGAAGGTCTTGGCATCTAATGGACAGATTGTGTGTCTTTTCCTGTGAGCACCCTCTAAACCCAACGAGGGGGATTTCCAACTCATCTCCAGCCATTGTGCTGCAAATATTTGCTGACCATTTGCAGCTCAAGAAACTTTCAAAGACAGGAAAGAGAAGAGCCCTTGCTGCTGACCAACAGGATATATTTACAGTAAAAGAGGCGATATGTTATTATGAACCAGCCTCTATCAGCCACAGGATGTTTGGCCTGAAACACTGGGACATTCCTCTGCTTCAGTATCGCTGAAAGGCACTCTGAAGCAACAGGTGAAGGACCTACCTGTGTGTGAGTAGATGAACCACAGGGCTCCAGTCAGCAGAACCCCGATGACGAAGGCTGCAAAAGCGATCCCCATTACTGTGGGAGTGTCCAGCAGATACATGCTTCCTGGAAAGCACAGCATTACAAAGTTTAGTTTTATATGTTGACAAACAGGATCATGTTTAAACAAATACACAGTTATATCCTCTTACCGTCATTTTTAGGTTCCTGTGGGGTTTCAGGTTTTGAGTCTGGAAAAGAAAATACCAGCAGAGTACAAATTAATGTATGCTTATTATTATGTATGCACGTACACGCATTGTAACTCACGACATATTAAAGGTAAAACAACACATGCTTGGAGTCGCCCCGTCAGCCACATGCCAAAAGAGAGCAGCTCATGACTAATGCTGCATTGTGCAGATAAGTTCTGTGGAATGTGATCCAGAAACATGAGCAGGAGAAATGCTCAGAGAGCAGTATCCCCACAGATGACCTGACTGAGTTCTGCTCTCAATTTTATTTAGAGCCACCTGAAAGGCTTTCAAAAGTGAACTTGGCTGTAATGATGTCTTTACTAACGACACAAGCATGCCTGTGTGTGGCTGAACTAAAACGTCAAAGCTGGTATGTACCCGGGGCTCGAGCACAGTGGCTGCTATTCCTGGAAAGAACACCTTTCGGTTTTCATCTCGCCAGATGAATGATGACAGGTCGTCTGAGAAATCTTTGATTTCAGGGTGAGGGACAGAAGACATCTCTCTGCCACCCACCACACTGTCCCAGGCCACTTGTTGTGCCAGGACTCCAGAGAGAAGCCACAGCATAAAAGACTGAGGCCAAGACAGGAGTTTGTAATGTTTTCTTCAAATGAAGATGGAAACTTGGTCCTGACTACAGGTGGTGATAGGATGACATTAGAGGATGAAGAGTAAGAATGTGTTGACAATCTGCTAAAGCAGAGAGGTTATATAATTACCAAAACGGTGTGTTTTGTCTGTTGTACCACCAGATGATTAATGCCAAACAGACAGGAAAAACTGGACATGAAAAATGTTAAGTACTATGTCGCGTGACGTTGCAAAATGTATGTGAATTTTTCTTAACGGTTATGTTTATTAAACATTTGACATTTGCAGTCAACAAAATAGGAGATTTAATACAAAACACAAAGTTAATTGCAGAAGAACATCTGAATACCTATAAACAATTTAAAATGAACGGCAACTCAAATAACCAGTCTGGAGCAAGCTAACATTAGCATATCAATTCAACTAGCTAAAGCTAACTTTTTTAAGTTCAAGTTTTAAGTTTATCAGAGTTTTTACCTGTTGATGTGTAACAAGGTGTTTAGCAAAAAAAATTAAACTATGCCAGTTTTAGACAAGATTTATAGTCTGAGTCAACTAAAAGTTGTCCAACAAATCTTACAGAAANATTATATGTAGATTATGTAGATTAAACACAGATTATATACAGCTTATTTATAATTATATGTAGATCATTTCCAGATTCCATGTAATTTATACAGATTATTTATAGATTATATGCAGATTATTTATAGATTATATGCAGATTATATATAGATTTTAACTATGTATAAATTACTTATAGACTATATGCAGGTTATTAATAATTATATGTAGATTATGTAGATTAAATGCAGATTATATATAGATTATAATTATATGTAGATCATTTCCAGATTCCATGTAAATGATGCAGATTATATGTTTATCAGCCAGCCACACTGCTCCTGAGGACCACTGTGTGCTGGGCTTTTCTCTGGTTCAGTGTTTGATGAACAACCTGCAGGTTGACGTGTGATGTCATTATAAACATGTTTTTGACTGGTTTAACTGGTATTCTTCATTTTAATGTCTGAAGTCATCCACCAGTGTTTACAGGACAGAAACAGTTTATCAGACTTGTAAGAATTTTACTTTAACCTTTAGACTCTAATAAAGTTTCATGAAATAATGTTTTATGTCTCAGAAACCTACAGGGTTTAATAAATTAATGAAAACAGTTTAAATGAGTTTTATCTGCAGCAGCAGGTAGCTGTTAGCCTCCTGTCCTCCCTCCCGGTTCCGGTCACCTCTTCTCGGTATAACCGGATAAATCACCACCCCGGACCACGGCTGGCCCCTCACCTGGCCCCCTTGCTGGCCGCGGAGGTCTGGCAGAGGTGGAGGCGGATCTCTCGGAGGTTTCTGCCCAAGCTAAAGCCCAGAGTCCTGACCGCGGAGGCCGCCATCTTGGTTTCTGTGAAGGACGAGCTGTGGGTTAATGAAGCCCAGAGTTCATCCTGACAGGCACCACTACAATACTATAAACCCAGAGTTCATCCTGACAGGCACCATGTATCCTCTAAACCCAGAGTTCATCCTGACAGGCACCATGCATCCTCTAAACCCAGAGTTCATCCTGACAGGCACCATGCATCCTCTAAACCCAGAGTTTAGTCTTAAAGGCTCAGGCAGTCAGCATACATCTAACAAAGACAAGTGACAAAAGACTTTTTAACAGCACAACAATCAGTTGTTTACTACAGCTCCATGACAGTGTTCATGAGCAAATTTAATCATTTACATCATGTTTCAGCTCCTGTGACTGACAGCTTAAAAACCTGCTCCTTATTTACATATAAAACTATCAAAAACAACAACATTACGTTAATACCTTCACATCTGATTTAAGCTGTCTGAACACATCTGTTATTAACTAACCCTAACCTAACCTAACCTAACCTAACCTAACCTAACTTAAACTAACCAAATTATTTGCTAGACTGAAATGATTTTAAACTTTTGGTAAAAAAGGAATGTGCAAATAATCAATAACCTTATTTCTTTCTAAGGAATTAGAGGAGAAAGTAGCAGCCTGCTGCTCTGTAAAAATATCGATTCATCTAAAGGACCTCCTTCCACATACTGTTTCTGCAGTTTGGGTCAGTTTTCATATAACTAGAGAATTTGCATTTCCTGCAAAAATGCAACACGAACACTTAATGTTGAAAAATGTTTGCTGAATACCAAAACAGAAAGCATAAGTAGCCTAAAAATAGCTAAAAAAAAGTAGCTGAAAATAGTCCAAAGAAACAGGAAGAGCACATTTGCTTCTTAAAGCACTAAGAAGCTGAATTTATCACAAAAAGGTGAGTTTAGCTTAAAAAAAGCTCAAATTAGATAAAAAGTAGCTAAAAACACAGAAATCAGCTAAAAGAAGCACAAAAAAACTGAAATTAGCAGAAGAATAACAGGTCAAAAATGATAGCTAATATGGCAGAAAACAACTAAAATCAGCAAAATAGAAGCCAAAAGAAGCTGAAATTAGCAAAGCAGGACCAGAACAAGTTCAGTAAAGATTTATGAACATTAAGAAGGGTTTTAAAGATGTTAAAGCCCATTTCTTTCATTTTCAGTGGGGAAAAACATGGCAGAAAAAGCTAAATATCTCAAAAAGTATAAATTGCTAAAATACCAAAAGTCATAGCCGGAGAGTCTTGAAGGAGCTGAATGTTTTGATATATGAACTGTTGAAATAGCACAAAAATTGCTGAACGAATTAGTTGCAGAAAAACATACAGAAGAAAAAAAAGTTCTAAATTGTATGAATGCTTTATAATGTCATGTGTTGTTCATCAGAGGTTACAGTTATCTTAACTGAAACCTTTTAGATGAGATACTTTGTTTTCCCATGACTAATCTGCCAAACCTCCCAGATAAAAACACACTTTCTCTAAATGTTATCAGAGTCATAAAAGAGCAAATAATAATTCAGCGATGTTGTTGAGCAACACGAGTAATTCTGACGTCAGAGCTTTGAAGACACTTGTGTTTTTCCACTCTCTAGGTTGGACACAAGTGCTCCTCTTTTGATTTGAGGTCTCTGAAAAACCCTCTTATGTTTTCAGTTTCAGCACATCTCAGCGTATTTGTTTACACACTGTACTCTGCAGAAAACGAGCCTGGCTGCACTGCTGCAGTGGTGGAAAGTAGATGTGCTCAGCTTCAATGAATACTTTAGTTTCATGGTTCACTAACACCTTCAGCATAAACACTGTTGGGTGTGATAAAATGTAAACTTCCTGACACATCTACGATATCCTTAAACGAACCATTATCAGCAGAGATGAAATTTAATTTATTAATCCGGCCAATGAAAATGAGGAAACAGATATCAAATTAAAAGCCTAGCATTCCTTGAAAGAATTCATATTGATTCCCAACTTTCATGACAGTTTTAAACATAATTCAAGTTGTGTTGGTCAAACCTTGTGAATGACGTTATGTGTGATCTCACAATATGTGTCGAGAAGGACTCTCGGTGCAAACCTTGGTGTGGTAGTAGCTATCTCATAAATGTGTGTACACCCCTCACTTCCGTTGCAAGAGGTTTACACATTAATGGCTGTGAGTTTTGTTATTTTGAGGGGACAGCAAATACACACTGACACAAAGTCAAGTAGTCAGTGTGCAGCTTGTATAGCAAAGTGTCATGTCATCAGTGTTGTCCCATGAAAAGATATAATAAAATATTTACAAAAATGTGAGGGGTGTACTCAGTTTTGTAACCTAATATCTGTTTATCTAAACGATTAAAGGGATCCACGATTAGTTGTAACATTAGACTTTATTTGATAAACATTTATACTAACTGTAAAATAAAGACTGTAAAATACTGTAGGCTGTTTAGTTTTGTAATTTTTTAAAAATATGTTTTAACACGGACGGAGCCATTTTATTTACATGCAATGCATTCTGGCTAAATGATGACGTGG